TTATGTATCCTTCAGGCTGGGACATGTAAATTTCTTCTTCCAATTCACCGTTCAAAAAGGCTGTAGAAACATCCATTTGATGTATCCCAAAATTAAGCTGGTTCGCAATTGCCAACAAAGAACGAATTGATTTATACTTTGCAACAGGCGAAAAAGTTTCGTCGTAATCCAAACCTGATTCCTGAGAAAAACCTTTTGCAACCAGACGAACTTTATGTCTCTCTACAGATCCATCCACGTTGTATTTTACTTTAAATACCCAACGAAAATTGATAGTTTTTCGTTTTTCGGGAAGATCAACTAATGTCCATGTTTCGTTCTTGATATGAGCTGCGTATTCATCATCCATGGCATATTTTCAATGCTTCTTATCACGACCAGTTAGAGCTTCATCTGCGGTTGTGGGTTCTGTTAAACTTAGCTCTTCATTTATGAATGCTGTGTTACTCTCCCACCAATTTCCAGTAATCACTGTCCCATATCTTTCTGGAGGTTTTCGTTGACGAAATGAGCATCGTGGTTGTTCTTCGATTTCTGTTTCTTGCAAAATGTTTGACTGATTCATGTCTTGATTAGGATCTATTGTGGTATCGTCTTTATGATTCGGTGAAGGTAAAGAAAGATTAGTAATCGTAAATTCTTCTTTAATAAATCTTGAATTCATTTCATTGAGATCAACTATTTCTTTCTTTGTTTGTTTGATAAATTCATCTTCATTAAACAAGACATCTCTGGATATATAAACCTTTTGAGTCTCAAGGTCAAAAAGTCTATATCCTTTACTTGAAAGACTGTAACCAACAAATATACATCTTTTTGTTTTCGAATCCCATTTCTTTCTATTTTCCTTTGATACATGCATATAGGCAGTACATCCAAATACCTTAAAATGCGATACATCTGGTTTCTTTCCATAGAAGCTTTCATAAGGTGTCATTCCATTAACAGCTGCTGTAGGACTTCGATTTCTAATAACGACTGCTGTGCATACAGCTTCAGCCCAAAACCTTTTCTCAAGATTTGCATGACACATCATGGACCTAGCCGCTTCTTGTATAGTTCGGTTCATTCTCTCGGATACACCATTCTGTTGTGGTGTTCTATTTACACTTAATTGATGTTGAATTCCCTTTTCTTTAAGATAGTTCATGAACTCTTTGGATCTATATTCACCGCCATCATCTGATCTAAGGATTTTGATCTTCTTCTCTGTGAAATTTGTAACCATAGCTTCATATTCCTTAAACTTACCTAATAACTCATTTTTTCTTTTTATAAAGTAAACAGCTGTGAATCTGGACTTATCGTCAATAAAGGTAACATAGTAACGACTACCACCATAACTGTTTTCTTGCATAGGTCCACAAACGTCACTGTGAATGATTTCAAGAATTTCCTTTGCTTGAGTTTCTTGTCCTTTGGGAAATGAAATTCGATTCTGTTTGCCCTTTGCACAACCTTCACAGAACTTAGGTTCTTTTGTAGACTCAAAATCCAACCCATTAACCAATTTGTGATCTCTCAATAATTGCAAATTCTTTATACTCAAATGACCATACCTCTGATGCCATAAATCCTCTTGATGATCTTTTTTAACCATATTGACATCATGGAATTTATCATTCTTTAAACTTGCATCAAGTATGTATAAGCTATTTCGTAGCTTACCAGATCCCATGACAGTTCCTGATGCGTCAAAGATAACACATCCACTTTCTTGAAGATGAATTGAATATCGTCGCTTATTCGTGGCACTTACTGAAAATAGATTTTTCGCAAGGTCTGGAACATGCAAAACATCCACCAATCTTACAGGTTTATATTTCTTACCAGCTTTGATGTTAAGCCAAATATTTCCTTTTCCAAATGCTTGGACAACACGATTATCTCCCAGACGTACCTTTTGTGGGCTTGCAAAATGAACATAGCCAACCATCATTTTCTTTTCATATGACATGTGTTGGGATGCTCCTGAGTCTATATACCATTCAAAGTCTTTATGATTTTTAGATTCCGATGACCAAAATAATGCATGTTCAACAGATGCATTAAATGATGTATCTTCTTTTCTTTCTTTGGGGTCTCTTGACTTATTTTTCTTGGGTTTATTGCAATTTCTTGCCCAATGTCCAGGGATTCCACAATTGTAACATTTTCCTTTTTTCTTGTATTTTATTTTTATTTAATTGTTTCTCTCATTTTTTGACAATAAAGCATCTTCTCCAGCATCTGCACTTGATAAATTTTCTTTACGTTTGTAGTCTTCATGCAACAACCTTGCTACTACAAATTCCAATGTTAAATCATCAGCACGAGACTCTAAAGCTGTAATCAAGTTACTGTAGGATTACGGGAGGCTACATAAGAGCGTTGCAACCTGATCATCCTCTGTTATAGATGGACCCAACGCTTCAAGCTGACTTGACAAAGCTTTCATTTTATTAAGATGCTCAGTCATAGATTCATCAATCCCCATAGTTGCCGAGAAATATTTCTTTCGAAGAAACAGTTTGTTCGCCAAAGACTTTACTTCATAGTGGTCTTCCAATTTTGACCATGCTTCCTTCGCTGTTTTAGCCGATCGAACTATTGACAATTGTTCGTCCTTTAATGATAAACAGATTGTAGCGAGAGCTTTTCTTTCTCGTCTTTGAAATTGTTTGCGTTGAGTTTCAGTAGAATCTTCAACAGAAGGCTCAACCTCGACGCCATTAACAATATCCCAAAGATTTTTATCTTCTAGGATCATTTGCAACTTAAATTTCCAAAGATGAAAGTTCTCTCGATTCGATACAACATTGCGTGTTCGTCACTACCTGACGCCATTGTCAAAACTTGTCAAAAATACGGCTAATTTATCTATAAATTACACTCAACAAGTCCTCAAACCGAACAGGCGCTCTCTGGGCCAATAACCTGTTAATCTTTAGCAAAGTTGTTCGGTTTGAGCAAACATTTATTTGATGTAGTGAGCTAATTAAATAAGTAGATTCAATACAAAACTATAATCGTAACTAACGACTCAGAGGAATGTCAATAGTTTATATATACAAAAATATCACGTGACTAAATAGACTGAACTATATATGTGAATACGAACTAGAGTTCTATTTTTCGTATAGTGATGCAGTATAATCTTTAACAAGAACATGGACAAATAAGGGAGCAATTGAATTAACCAGGCTGAACAAATAGCGATTGCAGACTGAATTATTTCAAGTAGATTTCATTTTAATGCATAATTACTTGTACAGGTTCCGCTTTTTTGACACCCTCTATTTCTATGTCAATAAATAAGGGTGTGCATGACAAAGAAAACAGCAGTTTCCTTTGCGCAGATCCAGACCGTGACGAAAGTGGCTTGAGCCACGGTTAGAATTTTCAAACTTTTGAGGTTACATTTTATGAATAAGATTAACAATTTTGCTGTAATTACTTGAAATACACCAAAATTGACAAAAAAAAACAATGTGTTTTTAATAAAATAATTAGATTTATATTTTCATAATTTACTGTCTTTTTAATATGGTTTTTGAAAAAAGCACAAAAACTTCAAAATAAATGTATTGCCTTTTTGCAAAATTATCTAAATAAACGCTGAGATGTTAAACTGCCGAAAGCATGCCAAATTTTACCAAGTTTGCTCGGAAAAGGTTCGTAACTTCGAAGCTGCGATCACAGCTTCAATTTGCCACGGTCAGCGTGTAAAAAATGGCGCAATTGTGGCTAAATATAGTAATCTTCAGCCACGGTGCAGGGCTGCAAACCAATCACAGAGCGAGCTGTAGTCACGTGAGCCACGGTGAGCCACGGTGGATGCATTTTGATTGCGCAATACAAGTGATCAGCTATAAACTTCGAATCTTCGATATTTATCGACTTCACGGGATTATAAAATCACAACCCAAATCTATTGCTACTTCTGTTCACTATTTGATAGAAGAATGTGAAAAGATTGGTGTTATTGGAAAGCAATGGGAAACTTTCGAATTTCAACTAGAAATTTTAAGCGAAAATATTTCAGTGTCTGTTGTATCAACAATGTGATTGGGAGAAAATAACCAGACAAGATTTGCTTTGCTGTATACGCTCTACTAGCGATATCATACTGCAAACATCGGAAATTTATAAATTACAGCTCTTATTGAAATTTGAAAGATCCAGACATAATGTCCCTGTTTCGTATGAATGTTTAAACAAAATATATTAAATTTTCTTTTGCAGCTGGGATTAAATTATACATACCAATTGACTATTTGTTTTCAATATGCATACGGCAGCATTTGCAATGTTAGTGATACATAAACTTTTTCTAAAACTGTTATTATTTGAACAAAGTTTCCTGCTCATTAATTTATTGTTGGTTGAATGTGAAATGAAATATTTTACTTTATTAAAAGGTTGTATACTATGACTAATCTTTAAGTAAAATTTAACTTTATGATGTTTTCATTCATGTGCATGTTACTGAATTCTACCTGCCATTTACCTCTATACGTCCTCAGGCCGACAAACCTCGTGCAGACAAAGATTAATTGCATTATATGTCAACCTATTGCTAATGAAGCTGCTATTTAAATAACTGGCCCATAGTTAAGGTGGACGACCAAAATAATGATGTTGTTCACGAATCATTATGTCACCCAAGTCCTCAGAGTCATACTTAGTTGCTCATCTAAACGATTCCATGATTTATGGTCTCAAATTCAGCTGCCCGTAGTATTGTTAATATAACTATGATCAAAGCTCAATTTTATAAGCAAATTATACAAGCAAATTTACAGCATTTTGGCTATCCTGCTTGATCCTATTACGATTTGTTTTAGTCAATAAGTAGTTGTTTGGTAAAGCATAAAAATTTTACGTACATGAAAATAAAGAAAAGGGCACTTTGGAAAGGAAATATCTTCAGGTAGCTATTTTCTTAAGTTTCATAGAAGAAAAATTCTTTTTAGATATGGTATAATTTGAGTGTGTTTTTTTCAAAGATAAGAACAAAATTACTTTGCAGCACATGGAAGCTGACATTCAGCTCACACATTAATTTATTAATAATGAAAAATATTCACAAAATAGTCATCGAGGCCTAAATACTAAATGCCTTTTTGTACCTTAGCTAGTGGGTGTGATCTATTAAGTGCATGTTCTGTTACATTTGCTTGGAAAGAGAGTCTTTTTACTTCAGATACCTCACCAGTCTTGAACTGTCCAAGATTACAAAATGCAATTCTAGTTATTATTATAACATCCAGTCCATGTAATTAGAGTGTTCAGTTCATTTAAAATTGCATTTGCCTGGGACATAAATATTGCAGCTCACTCCTTTTCAAACTCCTTCGAGAATTCTTATAAAATGCTATAGAAATTACTGTAGTTTTACAAAAAGTGGAGAATGTGGATACGAATTACTCATTTCCAGTTACATCCTTGATATTTATATTTGCCTCAGTCCACAATAATTCATTGTGCTGTTCAGGCATACTATCTATTTAATCTTGTTATATGATACTGAAGGGAAATCAGGATTACTTCTTTAAAATGTTTAAATACACTTTGCATTATATCCAAGAGATTATAATAATGGTAGTCCGTATGTTAAGTTTTGCTGTGATGCGTTTCTCTAGTTTTGTGTATCAAAAATTCCCATCCTTTAAAAATCATTTTATTACATTGTACAAACCAGTAAAAGTGCCTGGAGATGATTATTTCAAAACACACTTTCCAAACTTATCGAGGTTTATACAAATAACAATGTTTCCGAGGTTCCAACGTTAAACATAGCATCATTTTCATGTTTATAAACAAGATTCAAAACCAGAAAGTAATGAAAGAGTGGACATACGACCTGCGAGCTTTTAAGAATGAATGGAAAAAAATAGTAAACAAGATATTAACATTACGAAGACCTACATGCAGGTTGCACAGATTATGGTAAATGAACTTTATAAAAAATATAACGTCCACCTTTAAAGTGACATATATAACTATCACTAAATGCAAATGCAAGAAAAAACAAGGAGCCGAGTAGAATCCATGCATCTGAAGCACGAAGATAAGATCGTATAAATAGCAAAGTATGGTGGAGGTAGCCAGTTCTTGAAATTGTAACGCCGTCTTTGCTCTAAACAAAACAAACAAGTTTTACGTCTTAACTATAGTATGAAATGACAAAATTAACACACAAAAACGGGCGATGACAAATTGAAAGACAAAAATAAAGCACATGCAGGTATAACTTACAGGTCCTAAGCCATAATGATTCAGAAATTGAAGCATACTCGGTTCAGATTTAGACAATGGAGGAAGATATTCCCCAGAATATTCTCGCCACCAAAATGATTTTACCTTCCTACAAATAAAACACCCAATCAAGAAAACAAGCATAACTAAGAAAATACATTTTTCATTGTATTTGAAAAGAAACTGAAGCTCATATAAAATTTAAAATTGCCTTTGCTTAACGCGTACTAGTCCTTACTGTCCATATGCAGTTCAAAAAGGATATGCCTCGACTCCAACACCTTTGAGCTTGGTAGATCAACAGGTAGAGGGCCGGACTGGTATTCCGAAGGTGCGAGTTCAAATCTCGTCCAAATCACATGTTTTTCATGTGTTTATAAAGCACGTGTCAAGATTCAGTACTAAATGTTATGACAATCAGGCTGAAAGCGAATTCTTAGTATGAAGATAACTGCCAAACATACAACTTTCAATATCACCATGGATAAATGTTTGTTTTATCAACAACTAACGCCTTGTCTACTTAAGACATCAACAGATTCAAATACATACACATAGGAAGTTAGACAATACATATACTAACTATACGATGTTTACAAAAGTGTTAAGTTATATGATATAGTGATATAAAACGATGAGTGGGATGACAGTGTGGTGAGATTTGCATGTGTCTTAATAGATTGGGGTTGAGTATAATTGCATGAGATTTTAGATGAGGAGGCTATCGTGGATCGATAGTTCATATGCATTAGGAAAGTAGGGTTGAATAGAATTACATAAGATTTAGTAACTTGGAGATGAAGAGGCTGTCGTGGATGGATAGTTCATATGTATTAGGAGAGGATGGCACAATTTTGAAGTCGTCAAAGTCGGTGGAGTGATTAGTTGTTTTCAGATAGGATAGAACGCTGGAATTGATTGGGCTGCATAAAGGTTTTCTTTTCAAAGGAGAGATACTCAAATGCTCCGATACTCTGGTGTGTAAAATTGCGCGTGTCAAGCAGTGTCGAAACCTAACTAGATATACAACACCAGATGTCAGAAGTTTTGGGACTCAACCTTTAAAGGAAAGAAGCACGAAAGGCGTGTGGAAGAGCTAAAGACAAAACGAATATTGAGGTGAGAATAATCAACATTGCATGGTCTAGTGATTTGGGTGCGAATCTAAAGACAGTGATGAGCCGGTGAAGGAAAGAAGAAAATACATGACTTTCTTTAGTAAAGTGTGCATACGAGGTTTAGATTGGAGAAAGTTATTAAGGAAACGTCGGAAAAGTTAATCAAGAGTTGGGAAGGGACGCTATTTAAGACGACTTCAAATTGACGATGAAAATTCTCGTAGGTGGAGAAAAGATGGAAAGTTCAGGGAACAAGACAAGAAAATAAGGAGCTTTGTATGTTACAAGACTGAAGCTATGGAAGTTTGTAAAAAGACAGGCGAAAGTGGGTTTTAGAACAACAGAAACAGAGAATGTGCCAGTATAGCACGCGATTTTGACGACGAGGAAGGGAAGATTACCGTCCTTTTTTTTAATTCGGAAGTGAAAAGAATGTTTGCATGTTGTTGGTTAAGGAAATCAAGAAAGAGAGGTACATGTTCTAAGGAACTCAAGAGCAGGAAACAGTCATCAACGTATAGTCAGTATATGAGTGGCTTGAAATGAGAGAGACATTTATTTAACCATGATTTCTCGTGGAAAGTCCAGTAGACAAAACCTTTGAGATAATCACCAATTACATATTTTTTGATAGTTTTCGCTTCCACGGTTATAACCGTTCTAAATTCACCAAACTTCTGTCACTTTCAGTTAAAATTGTATAGTTACACATTGAATGGCTGTATGTATCAAAAAATCGTTATTGTACCTTAGGGCCCCCTCTTCGCAATATATCTTCATGTCTTTCCACGAGAAATCATGGTTAAAGAAATGCCTAAGTTAAAGAAATGTCTAGCCACTCCTATACATGCACCTATCTTTCTTGATTTCCTTAAAGGGGAATTCCAATCGAAAATAAACATTGGCTCTTATAAAAGATACAACTATTTATTGCTATTCGGTAAAATATTTATGCTTATAAAAAATAAAGGAGAAATATCTGACAAAAGTTAGAATTTTTGACGCCCTATTGATACGTGGTTCTTTCAGCGGCGTCAATTTGTGACGTCATTGCGTTTTTCAAAAGGACAATTCTATTGATTATATTAATACATTGCAAAGATGAATTCAAAGCAAAGATGAGAAAAATATTTACACTTTTTTGAAGAAAGTCCATCGAGTTGATTGAGTGAGAGTCTTAGTTATTCTATTCAACCCCACTCTATCTCTTAACACACAAATTTCACCACACTTTTATCACTATATCTTGTAACATATAACTCTGGAAATATCGTACAAATAGTACTTATGTCATCTAATTATGTTACCTATGTACGTATATTTCAATCTGATGATGTCTTAAGTCAAAGATAAAACGTTATTGTTACAAAATCTATTTATCAATGGCCATATTTTTATGTTAGGCAATTATATCTGCTGTAAATGTCTCTTGGCTACATACAGTGCACGTCTCTGCAGATGTTTTTTGTCTTTTTTCGAAATTAAAAATGAAGCTCAAAAACCAACTGTCCGTTGCAGTTGCTGCGCAGCAGACAAAATAATTATTTTCGGGTATTTTAGATGATTTAAATACAATGCAAATTTTAGAAATAATAATAAAGAATATTGCAGATACTGGCAAAGTTGGATAAACTAGTATACTATAAGGTCGGCACTAAAGCAGTAAGAAATCTTACAAGTAAAAATTCGCTGAGTGGTTATAACGAAAATGACATGATGCATTTAATACCTTGCTTTTCGAACGAATTCAATCAAAGAATTACAAGAAACTTTTGTGTAATGATATTTGTAAAGAATTGCTCGAACATAACGAGGGGGCTTTTTCAATGTTTGGTTCTTAGCCATTAAATCCAGAACAGCGCGTTCACCAGATAGTAGTCTGTAGGCAAGATGAACAAACCAAGGATTGTGGTGATAGCTACCAAGAGCTGCAAACCACATTTGCCAATCTAGTCTAGGCTGGTGGGGAACTAAACATTCCAAAAAAATATTTATCTTATCATGATTACCCTATTCTGTTATGGTGTTTTATTGATAGAGAAACACTCGTGAATTTATATAAATATAGTGTTGAAAGCTCTTTAAGAATGATTGATCTTTAATCTAAGCGATATATACAATAATACGTAAAAATGGCGGCAAATTGTTCACATCTCCAGGTTTGTATTTGAAATTGTACTCCTAAAAAAATAGCAAACACGAAGTAAGCATGAATGCTCACAAACACACATACATCATTACATAATTCGCTAGAGAGAATCTTAGCGAACACCAGTATGTATTTTGCGGTGATCACGAAGACTGTGGCACATGTTGCAGCAAATGGCGGGAAATGCTACTCAATAACAAAACCTACAGCAAAACGCCGTTTCACTCTTTAACGAAATAAAAAGTAAAAGGAACGCTATAGAAATCCATTTTACGGTTAGAATATGAGTTATGGTTAGTTTATGGTTAAGGCAAGGGTCAGACTTTCAAAGTTTGAAATAAAATTTAAGCTTCTACTTTATTGCTGTAATTGCAATCTTTTTTTTTTATAGTCTGAGCCTGTTGCACGTTTCTGATAATCAGCGACATAAGGCGTCCGCTGAACTGCACTTGACCTTCAAAAATACCCTTGATATTTTTCTGTTGCTAAAATCTCGGATGTGGCTTTCTGATGAAACATAGAAGAAAAGTTTTTAGTCGTGGAAATTAAATATAATCTTATCTTGGAAGCGCAGTCAATTTAACTCTAACTTCACCATATCACAACACCATATCACGATATAGCTACCTGCCATGGACCATCAAGAGAATCACTTCCTTCAATACCTATTTCAGGCCTTCCACCAACGCCCGTCATTCTAAATTACAAAATAAGTTTAAAATATCAACAGATGGACATGTTGGAAATAGAAAACAATCGTTATAGTTTAGGTCGCGTGACGGGAAGTAGATTTGACTACAGTCAACCAATGAAAATAAAAGGGCATAGCATGCCAAGAAAAGTGTCACTTTTCTTTCACGTGTAGTCGAGATAACTGTTCGTAGCGAGTTGTGATACATGACATTATATCCTTTAAACATACGAGACTTTGTGTTGTAAGTTTCATGAGACTTTTCGCAGATCCATACCGGGGAGGCAGGTAATTTGTGAAACGTGTCACCTCCGACAGGATTCAAGCGTTTGTGAGGAAATCTGACTATATTCGAACCAAGCTGTTGACAGAAATGGCAGACAGCAATTTGATAGCGGATTGCGGCGTCAAATTAAAACAACTTAAAATGACATGCAAGAGAACTGATTCGGTTATTAGTTCTAACAAAGATTCTGCAAACAAACGGCAACTGGAAGCGGTAAAGGCTCTAACAAGCGAGTTAGAAACTTTGAGACGAAACGTAGAACCTTTTAAAATCGAACAAGAAGTGAGCGAGGACGAAGTTACAGCATGGAATATTGGTGTTGAAGACGAGATCGAGAAGGCAGATAACAACTTAAAGCGATTAGAGGAACAGCGAGAAAATAGCGAATCCGAAAAAGAGAGAAATGGGCGTGAGAGGCAGTTATAATACGACTTAAATCTACACCTAGCTAAACTGAAACTTGATGCTGAACGCCAAGCGAAGTTAAGTGAAGAAAGTTCCTCGAGGGATGCGCATTCAAAACAAGTGGAAACGAAACTTCGAAAGCTCGTAATATCCAATATTCCATGGAAAATACATGGATTGGCAGCGATTTTGGGGACAGTTAACAGAATCCATCGAGAAGACTGGACTAGCAAGTATAACTAAGTTTTCGTACCTTAGAGAACTTCGCCGAGACAAAGTTAAACGTGAAGTAGAATCCTTACCATTCACGGTCGAAGGTTATAATACAGCAAAGGCTATATTGGAGGAGAAGTATGGCAAAGAATCAGAGCTGGTAAAGGCGTACGTAAAAGAGATTTTGAGTCTGCCGCACATCTCAACAGCAAATGCAAGAAAGGTTGCTGACTTCAGGGACAAGTTAACATAATGCGTGCAATCATTGCGATCGCTCAAAAGGTTGAACGAAATTAAGGGTTTCTACGATGGTGACCATCAACAAGCTGCCAGCGATACGGGGTGACCTGGTAAGGTCGGATGGTGACTGAAAAACGTGGCACTTTAGTCCGTGATCTGTGACCGATTTTCTTTCATTCCCGTTGGACACCTCCAGAAAGGTCGTGAAAAATTCAAGACAGATGGAGTTTTACATGCTTAACGCAGTTTTACTTCTTGTCATCTCCAAAAAGCTGCAGTTTTATTGCTATATTACATTAAAATTTTAAAATTTGTAGCTCATTACAATTTCGGAACCCGCCATTTTTCCCTGGAAACTTCATGTTAAATATACTTTGTGTGCTAGTGCCTGACCTAATAGACAGTTATTCCGCACGATAATAAAGGGAAGATAAATAAAACGCCAAAAAGAAATAAATATTTCACTCGTGCATTAGGCTGGATTTTAGCAATTGTTGCGAAGATAATATTTTAAAAGTTATAATCGTATTGTGCAAAAAAGGCGCCCTTTTTTTAAAGATATGCCTCGAATTCGCCGTCAATGTCATCATCTAAATACTCCTCTTCCTCAACATCATTGTCATCAATATCTACATTCGTGTTTGCAGTTCACGACGATACATATGTGTACTTCACTCCGGCTTTGTTACATGAACAACGTTGGGAGTTACAGCCACGTTGCAGCCAGTCTTACAACCACAATGAACGTGATCAAGTAGGGAATCCGGGGCTAGGGGAATGGTCATCCATACGATTTCAGACTTGTAGTCTCCCGTCATTCGTTTGCCACCCATTTTCATCCGGAGGAGTAACATCCATTTGTGGTTGTAAACAGAAAGGCCAAAGCGCAGGTTGTTACAAAAATGAAGAACGATGTAAGTTCCATAAACTTCCATTGCTAATCAAGAGTTATTGTAAATATTGCTAAAGTCATTCTTATTGCATTCTGTATACAAGTGAGAGGTATTTTGCAAAAAGAAGTTAAAAATCTCAGTTAAGAAGCATAAAATCTCAAAACACAAAGCTAGAACTCAACATTATATGATTCTTAGAACAAACTTAGCTACTATTTGTTTACAATATGTCAGAAGTGGTAAACTTTTGTATTTTTCAACAATCTCTTTCACAGGTTGTGATGATTGTTAATCTTCACTTAAGGCTTTATACTCAAAGAACATTTTTCAGCAAGCCATTTCAAAAGACAGAAAGCTGGGTTTTTTGCTTGAGGTGAAACTTTGTTTTATTGTATATTTGATTAGCAAGGACTTTCATAGATAAAAGTTGTCTTTGCATACCATGAAAAGGAGAGTGGAAGAGTTCTGGAACAATGATTGAAAAAGTGATCCTGTATATATATTTCTCAACAAGAAATGTAGTTGTGATTCTGATCTATACAAATAGTTTACTAATTTACTCTGTGTCCTTCGATAAAAGTTTATAATTTTGATTTAAAATAAAGAATATCTGAATTATTTTTGAAGTCATTTTTATATAGACAATGCATGGAAACAGCAACTAAAGATGGTTTTGGGAGATCGGTATGCAATAGAGACAAGATCTTCTGTTAGAAGTAAGTGAGCAAGCACTTTAATGTTTAGTGCAGCTTCTACAAAACCAAAAAAAATTGTTGTCCTTCTATATTTAAAAAGAGAAATTTCAGAATTCTACTCTTCCAAAGTAAAGAATGGACTTCACGTATCCTATGTTGAGTGACCTTGCAGAAAGAGTGGTCAAAACATTGCATCGAAGCAATTTTTTTATTTAGTGAGTCTAATAGCCTGATAGCAATACTTTTAAAACTTTATTTTTGCTCTTGCATCAGTTAAGGCAGGTTAATCAGAAAGGCACGTACTTTATGGCATCTGTAACATAGCTGTAAGCTACTAAATGTTTGTTCTACAATTTTTACATTTATCTTAGGCCTATGCATAATAATGTGCCTCTTTAAAAGCTTATTAACATAAAATTCTTCATTGGTAATGATCGATTTCTTACCAAGCTTTAGTGTTTAAGGAAAAATTTATGGAAAGATGCGTTGCTATCCTTCGAAAAGTGAAGTTGCGCACGATTTAACCATAAGTTCTTAAAACTGACAAGATTTAGGTCTAAAACAGGCTTCTCCTATGTTGATACATAAGTGCAAAGGTGACAGTTTATGTTTGCTTCCAAAATCTTCGACAGAATTCTTCATTTAAAACTTACATTTTACTTGGACTTTATTAAGAGTCTCGCCTTTTTGCCACCTTTCAAGATGGCGCCCGTAAATAAATTTGTCTCACCATGACAACGGCAGTTAGACACATAGAGTTCCGCAACAAAAAAATGGCGACATTCAAAATTGAAGGAGCGATGAATTTTGAAATTCAACCGCAAAATACTAAAAAACTGCATCTTTCTAGAAGTGACAATAAAAAGAATATCAAACAGCAAGTGACTTTCTATATATTTCGAAAATTTTGCGCCCTTTCTTGAGGTGTCCAACGAAACTCATTTTTAAAGCATATATTTGAGGCACAGATCACGGACTACTTGGATCAACTGGCGGAAGCATTACTCCTTTATCTACGACGTAACCCAGTGGACACCAGTCGAAACTTAAAGGATGATGAAGTCTGGGAACGTAGAGAAAGAGAGAGAGCATATCTTACTAACTAAACAGACAAACCCCGAGGGTGAGTATATTGCGATAGCAACGATCATAAAGCTGTCGACTGCACGAAATTAACCGCTGTAGCTGACAGAAAGCAAATCCTGGTAAAAAAAGCTGTGCTTCAACTGCGCCATTGGGAACCACCGCGCTGCACAGTTTCCAAGGAAAACATCGTGTCAAACCTGCCACAAAAGATACCATACCTCGATATGCGACAAATCACAGATAAGTGAAGTGCAAAAGGCTACCTTGACTTCAAACGGAGTGGGCGAGGACATTTTTCCTTCTGTATCACTGAAAGTAAATGGAATTGTTACTAGAGCACTGATTGATACATGAGCGTGTAGCTCATATGTTTCTGCGAAGGTCGGGAGTCTGCTGAAAACCAAACCTTCAGACTTAATATGTTTGTATCGCTTGTATGTGTATCGCTTCACTGGGGGTAATTATCGCGTTTTGAATTAGCAAGGCAAATGTGTTGACTTTGCGAAGTATGAAGCTAAATGAAATGATCTTATGTGACAATATTAACATGCTATTTAGAATTTTCATTAGTCTGAGCCTGCAGCCCGTTTCCGATGATCAGCGACATAAAGCGTCCGCTAAACTGCACTTGACCTACAAAAATACCCTTGACATTTTTCTGTAGCTAAAAATTTCGGATGTTCTTTTCTATGATGAAACAAAACGTAGCAAAACAGAACAAAAAAAAAAAAACAGAACCAAGAGAAAACAGAACCAAACCAGTAGTTCTAGGAGTTGCTTTTATTGAGAAAAAAGTTATTAATGGTGGTGAAATGATGCGCATGGCTGATATTTATGAGCAATATGAAAAAACCAAGTTAAAAGTAGTTGGGTAGAGAAATCTGCAAAACAATAAAGTCCAGATCCGCAAAACAATAAGGAAACATACCAAAATACCAATAACTATGGTTCTGTTGTGCATATCGTTTTCTATAGTAAAATCGGGGTAACAAATCCGAAGATAATATAGTTCCTGTGTTATTTTTGTTTGACAAACAGTAATTGCGACTTCTACAACATAAGATTGAGATCTCTGGAGTTGAAATAAGCATTTGCTGCAAATTTCGAGAGCCATTTTTAGTTTCACAGTTTTGTAATGCTTTGTGTCCGCTATAGTGGTTTTCTTTTTTTCGCAAATATAGCATTCATAGTCATCAAATAATTTTCTTGGATAGTGAAAACGTCTTCTTTATTCAATGTTACTGTTTTGTGATACACGTTGGCACATTTTACTTATAATGTATAACTTATTATACATGTAGGAATCACTAAATCACACTCCTATTTCCTTTATTTTCTGAAAATATAAACGAGACATATAATGCGGTAAATAATGCGAGTAACATTCCAAACGCATAAAAAAGGATTATTAAAATCATCAGCCTTCCTCGTTGACATTTGAGACTGACTTTTATAAATCTGTACTGTATCCTGTTTTCCAAACTTATCTTGGTTAATGCCTTGCTGTGCGTGTAGTTCTGATTTTTCTGATAGCGTGTCAGTGAAAACTGTAACCAAGTCCTGGCAAATCCTCTCTCTAGGAGAGAAGTATTTCAACCCCTCTTATCTTTTCTAGCCTGGGCCGCTTCATAAACTGCTTGTTTAGATTTTTCACTTAAATTCGTTATAGCTTCGGTCATTTGGTTTCGACAATGTATGATGCAAGCATTGCTTTTGACTTTCTTTCGTTTTTGAGATGGTACTTAAGTCAAACTTATATCAAATCGCTTTGATTTACACTTTTTGGAAATATTCGTTCCTTCAATAGTAAAAATTACCTGACGCACGTTTTTATGTTTCAATCTGATGAATGCACCCATATGACATAACGTTTCCTATTAGGCGCTGGTCAAAATTCATTGTGGGCTTGCATTTTGCATGAAATAAGCATAAAACATGGTGGCAAACAAATTGAATACAATGAAGTGAAGCGAAAAATGTTGAGGGAATCATCGCTTCAGTTGTCCAACATGCGGAATCGAGTTTAACAAACTATACATTAATCCAAAATTGAATTGTCCCAAAAAACCGTAAGTGTTCATACCAGTAGCTATCTGCCTGACTATGAATTGTTTTTAGAGCAGCGAAGCAAGGTTTAAATCGACAAATGTTTGAAAGAAAAACAATTTAGGAAATCTTTCGTCGTTGGTTGATATTTTAGAAGTTGAGCACTTATTTTTATCAACAGTTTGTAAACTCGAACTTTCTGCAAAAAAAAAACACGTTCGCTGTACGATTAAAAGAACAATTCTCGTTCATACAAATATTTTCTCTTTCCATAGAAAATATTATTGAGCGAGAAGTCTTTCTATTGATCATACGAGATATGATTTCAACTGCCGGCGCAAGAATATACTTCAAAGAAATAGCCACGAAAACATGGGGTAAATCAACAGTGCTAATCATCAGTTTCTCGATTCACATTGTTGGGAAAATGGAAGTAGGCTATAACGCACAACAAAATGCAATGCTTTTAAGTTCTGTCACAAACATACATCACGTTTTAAGTTTCGTCTTTGAAAAAACAGATTTTATAACGAACTTTTGTTTTACGAAATTGAGTTTGAACGTCATAATACTGTGCAAAATATCACAAGATCAAAAATCATGTTTCTGCTGTTGTTAGCATGTTCTTAACTATTTGTCAGAGCGATTAGATTTAGCTTGCCTAAAAAAATTTAGGAATTTGCAGAGTAGAAATACTTCAGTTTCCATTTCTTTGTATCTAGCAAAAAATCTAGAACATCTCGATCCGCATGATTTTTCACTTGGTAGGCGAGAAAATTCTGAAAATTTTTATAGGAGAGCAACATAGTTTGCGGAAAATTATACAAGTATGCTTTAACCGTTTTATGTGGAAGACGTTCGTTATCCTTGGTAGTGTGAGACCATCTTACAATTAGCTTTAGCTGCTTTAAAGTAAATATCGCGGTCATCGAGACATATGTATATAACAATTTCTTAATCACCAGTTATATACTAATGAATAATTGTGTTGTATTTAGCTGCTTTATAGATTATACGTTTTACAGTTGGTTCTTACGTTCATCTTTTAAAGACGATTATACTGCTGTATTGATAGACTTGTCGATTTTTAACATGACTAAAAACATTTGCAGGTGTTTTTAAAGCAAAAATTTACTGTTGTTTATTAAAAGCATTTAACGCGGAAATCCAAGTCACATATCTTGACCAGGGTTTCCGGGTCAGTTTAACCCAACTTGCGTCGATGGCATCATAACCAGTAAGGAGTTAACGATTTGACCCAATTTGGGTCGTATCTGACCCAGATGTTTTTAGAGTGTGTAAATGCGTGAAAGCACACAAAGCTTTTTTCATACTGTCTCCAACGAGAAATCTAATAGTTTTCATAATATTTAGGGAAAAAAAATTGCGCAATACACTCTCGAGAATAATAGCACAATCACATTTGATAGGAGCCATGTTGAAATAGAAAGAAATAGCAAAGACCCTAACTTACCTTTAAAATCGTAAAATAAGCATATGTTCATTTATCAAGTTTAATGAAATTTTACGTGTTGAAGAATCTTACCTTCTAAAAAGACCGTATGAGTTTACAATATGAAACTGATCAATTTGGCTGTGCCATTTTCTAACAACAGGCCAAACATTATGTTGTGTATCTTCATCAAGAGCTGAATACGGAACCTGATCAGGAGGAATTTTGAGTTAAACTTTGTGTTTTGTTGGGCAAAAATGAAAACACTATACAAATAAAAAAATTACCAAACTGATACTAAACAACCAAATGGCTACGCCAGCTTTCACACAACATAAAACAAGAGAAAAAATTTTGTCCAAAACTTGCTCTTGCTGACAACATCTAAAACAAAATACTCATGTAAGATTTATGAAAAGAAAAACGGATTAACAATTGGCAATGTAGCAGATCCAAAACAATCACGAAACAAGACTGAACTGAAAAAAAATCAAGCCACTTAAAGAGTTCATAAACACGATATCATTTGCGCTAGAACATGAATTTTGAAACAATTATACGCATATGAAAAACATAAAGCGTCGAAAAACTGCAAAACTGCACGTAAACAGGTGTATGTTTAAAGAACTTTTGTTGTCAGAGATGGCATTCAAAACAGAAGCAACTGGGAGCGACTATACTTTGAACAACCCTTTAAGTGGCATTGTAGTAAATAAGCAATAATAACAAACATAATAAAACTCAACTGTGAAAAACTTATTCCATATTAAAGAGTTAATGATCAGCAGTAAATGAACTCATTCACGCGTCCATGTAATATAAGTAAAGACACATACAAAAATCGTGGAAGATATCGTGGAGAGAACACGACAAAAACTTAACAAAACCTCTCTTATCTTGGAATTTTTAAATTGTCTTCACGTCTTATTTATCGAAGCATCAAAAAGGAAAATTTCGTGCAGTTAGTACATTTCAATGTTCCTTTTTTCAGCAATTTGTATACAATATACGTAACAAAGTATAAGATTTAACCGTTTAAGCTAGGTAGTATCTTTCAAATGTTTGCAGATGTAGATCGCGTCCAAGTTAGTAGATTCCTGAGAAGGAGTATTGGTGTTGATATTAACTGACGTTTCGATTAGCTTAACCTTAACCCACTTGACTCTAAAGAAGTCTATCGCTAAGGTTATCAAAACGGCAGCCAAAACGTCAAACCTCAACAAACTTTGAAAAATGACAAAACCAAGAGACAGTGCTCCAACCCAAATAGAAAATGGAACAATAGTCTTCAGAGCAACAACAAACTGGGAATATGTAAAACCTAAAAAGAAAACGCCAAGTGTTTAATATCAGGTCAAGAAACCTAAAACTAAAAAAATAAACATGTTTCATTTTGAGTTATATATGGATGAGAATGAACTGAAACAAACTTTCCTGGCCTATTTTTGTGATGATAATATTTTTGCTATCAAATTCCACTAAAAATAAATGCTGGATCCAATAAACGAAGACAAATGCAACAACCAGTACAATCAACTTCCTGATGGTATTAACAATAACATTAAAAACGCGACATCTTCTTTTAAGTTCACAAGACAATATGCCTAAATAAAAAATCGTGGAAATAAATAGATTAATTAACAAATCGCTATTATATTCCTAACATAAATACTAACATTACATTCCGGGAAATTTCACAATAATACTCATACCATTTCATTATTACATCAAAATAATGTTGGTAACATTTCCCAATTGTTATAGTTCAGAACAATTATATTCATTACGTGAAATAATTGCACTATAACAATTATACTAACATGTATATTCCTGCAAATTTCAGATACGTTTTGATAAATGAAAGAGTATAACTATAATGCCAGAAAAAAACTTTGTAAAAACATTTAACAGTATGCATAAGCAAGCATTTCTAACCACAGAAGAAAAACACATAGAACCCTCAAAACAATAAACAACTCACAGAAAGTGCTTACATCGAAACACACAAAAAGAAAATACAATCATGCAAAAAAAGTTATATTGCCAGAAAAGCTAAAAGGTTAAGTTGACTATTCGCAAAACGATCACAGAAGACATTAAAGAGAAAATAAGGGCTTCGATATAATGTGCAGAGATGCAAAGTCGGACATTGAAGTTGTTACGCATTAACACATTAAAAAAAAACTAATTTTGCTCAAGAGAATGATAATGAGTAATTGGATCACAGAAGATCACATCGAGATTATGACGAATAACTCAGGGAGATTCTTTCTCCTCTTGTTGTATTGTATTTCTGACTACATCTAAGTAAAGCTACAAGAGGTCAATCACAAGCGAACCAAACAGTAGCCTGTTTTATTTAATCTAAATTTAATTGGAAGTAACGAGAAAGAACAAAATAATGAACTGAAAATCGCGAAACAATTCAGTGAAGATAGGTATGGAATTTGCACTCGAAAGTTGTTCCAAAGCCAGTTTCAAAACAGGCAAACTAATCTCAACTGGAAACATTACTGATGACACAAAAGAGAAGAATTGCATGGACGACGAGAAAGTATTGTAGATCTGGGTGTAAACGAAAGTGTTGGTATGAAGAATGACAAAATGAAAAAAGAGCAGAAACGAGCACTGTAGAAGAGCAAAATTAATCAAATGAAATGAAATCAAATGATGAAACGAAATACAAAAAGTCCATAGTTAACACTGTAGTAGTCAGAATTTTGCAATATAGCTTTAGCATCTGAAGAAGATTGACGCAAAACAGGTAAACTGTTAAGCATACAGAAAATTTTACATGGTATAAAGCATAACTGAAAAGAGTGTATATCCCGAGAAAAGATGGAAGTACGGGTCATTGAATATTGACGTAGAAAAAGCATTTAACAATAGAACTTAATAAATATCTGAAACACAAAGATGATGGACTCTCCTGTCGGAGCGACAGATGAGTAGGCATGCAGGTCTATCTACGAGAGTGGGACCTCATGTGTGAATGGAAGCCAATTTGTGATGCACACGAACGTCCGCAAACGCTGCAGGGGTACGAGACAAGAGGGGCAGAGCGTTGCTTCTTTCGGGCCCTCTTCTCCTTGATGGCGGCTGCTCTACCGGCTTCGAAGTTCCGAACGCCCTGGGAGCATAGATGCCTCCACTGCAGTCTGTCTCCCGCGAATTCCTCCCAAGTGTTTGGGTCTATGTTGCAGCTCTTGATGTTGGCTTTAAGGGTGTCTTTGTATCTCTTCAGCGGTCTTCCTTGGACACGGCTCCCGTCTTGTAGTTGACCATACAGCAGCATCTTTGGGATTCTGCTGTCATCCATCCTTACGACATGGCCTGTCCATCGGAGTTGAGATTTGATGATCAAGCTCTCAACGCTGGGGAGTCCACACCTTTCAAGGACTTCAAGATTGTACACTTTGTCCTGCCACTTGATGCAGAGGATTTTTCTCAGGCAGCGCTGGTGGAACTGTTCCAGCTGTTGTATGTGCCTGCGATAAGTGGTCCAGGTTTCACAGCAGTACAGCAGAACACTCAGGACCACAGCCCTGTAAACAGCAATTTTGGTGACGATCTTGATGCCGTGTTCCTGCCAGAGTCTTCTCTTTAGTCTGCCGAAAGCAGCACTGGCCTTTGCAATACGCAGCGTTACCTCTGCGTCCAGGGAACCATTGTTGCTGATGTTGCTGCCACTGTTGATGTTGCTGCCAACATCAACAGTCTTGATGTTGGTGTAGTTAATGATGACAGGAGGTGGTGGTGAGGTGTCACGAGTCTGGGATGGTGGAAGCTGGACCAGGGTCTCAGTCTTGCCAAGGCTGATGGTCAGCCCAAAGCGATCACATGCAGTTGCGAAGCGGTCTGTTATGCACTGGATGTCTTCATGAGAGTGGGCGGCTAGTGCACAGTCATCTGCAAAGAGAAATTCACGCAGGAGTGCCTCGTAGACTTTGGTCTTGGCCTGAAGTCTTCTGAGGTTGAAGAACTTTCCATCAGTACGGAACTGAATGTACACCCCTTTGTCTAAGTCACGGAAGGCGTCAAGCAGCATCGCTGCGAGCAGGATGGAAAAGAGATTGGGGGCAAGAACACAACCTTGCTTCACACCGTTCTTCACAGGAAATGGGTCCGATGTCTCCCCACTTTCCTGGACTCTTGCCTGCATGCCATCGTGAAAGGAGGCTACCAGAGAGACTAGCTTCTTTGGACACCCAAATTTTCCAAGGATCCTCCAAAGGCCATGCCGATTAACGGTGTCGAATGCCTTAGTTACGTCTACGAAGACCATGTGGACTTCCTTGTTTTGCTCGCGGCACTTTTCCTGTAACTGGCGAATGGCGAAAACCATGTCAGTAGTTTCCCTGTCTGCACGGAAACCACACTGAGATTCAGGGACGATGGCCTCGGCAACATTTGTGATTAGCCTGTTGAGGACTACTCGGGCCATAACCTTGCCTGCGATGCAGAGGAGGGATATGTCTCGATGGTTGTCACGTGAGGTCTTATCGCCTTTCCTCATATAGATGTGCACGACGGCAGCATCTTTGATGTCCTGAGGGACCTTGGCAACTTTCCAAACCTCCTGGAACAGGGATGTCAGTTTGTCCAGGAGTGCCTGGCCTCCGTTCTTGTAGACGTCAGCTGGAGTGCCATCAGCCCCAGGAGCCTTTCTAGACCTTGTCTGCTTGAGGGCTTTCGCAACCTCGTCTCTGGTGGGTGGGTCGGCAATTTCCTCTTTGATTGGCAGCTGGGGAGGGACTCAATGGCTTCTTCGTTCATCTGTGACTCTCTATTCAGCAGTTTGTTGAAGTGTTCAGCCCAGCGTGAAAGTATTTAAGCTTTGTCTTTTAGCAGTGTCGTTCGGTCTGCAGACCTGATGAGGGTAGAGCCTGACGATTTTGGACTGTACACCGCGCGAAGCCCATCGTGGAGCTTTTTTGAGTCGTGAGCATCAGCTGCCACTTGGATTTCTTCGGCTTTCTTTTCCCACCAGGCGTTCTTCATTTCCCGCAGCTTGTGTTGCACATGCTGCCTCACTTGTGGGTAGTCTTGCTTCTTCTTCTCGCGAGCTTTGTCCCCTATAAGGTCGCTGTGAGCCTTATGGAGCCTGTCAATAAGCCTGTTGATCTCAGCGTCATTCTCGTCAAACCAGTCTCGATGTTTTCGCTCAAGGTATCCAAGGACGATCGCTGCAGAGTTGTAGACGGCTTCTTTGAAGGTGCTCCATTCTTCCTCTATATCCTCACCCGTGATTTTAATGTTTCCCAGTGCTACCTCTAGCTTCTCTTGCAGCTCTTCATTGTTGGGTGGAATGCGAGCTACATTCAACTTCCTCAATGGACTGTCTTGCTGATTTGTTGTTTCTGGCGAGCTGGATGTTCATCTTGCTCCGTAGCAGGCGGTGATCAGACTAACAGTCGGCACCACGCATGCAGCGTATGATGTGCACGTCTCTGCGGTTAGTAAAGCATGTCACTTCCCACGTCACATGTCACGTCACATGTCACGTCACATGTCACGTCGCATGTCACGTCTCGGACAGTAAAGCATGTGCCACTGTCTGGAGCGAGGGTACATCCATGTTTTCTTCAGCTTGTCAGCTTGTTGAAAGAGAGTTTTAGTAATGGTTAGCTCGTGCTGTGCGCACAGAGATAGTAGCATCAGGCCATTGGAGTTGCACTTGCCAGTTCCATGGCGAGACAGGATGTTTGGCCATATGGTGTAGTCTACTCCAACTCGTGCGTTAAAGTCTCCAAGGATGATGAGTTTGTCTCTGCAGTCAACACTGGAGAGTAGCTGGTTCAGCTCTTCGTAGAAGGCTTCCTTCACTTCATCTGGGTTTGTCATTGTAGAGGCATAGGCGCTGACAATTGTTGTGGTGCAGTCTTTCATGAGTTTCAGCTGCAGGGTCATGAGGCGATCGCTGATGCCATGTGGCAAGCTGACTAATCGCCTTGCGAGCTGAGTGCGTATGGCAAATCCCATGCCTGAGTGTCTTGGGGCGTTTTCCGGTTTCCCAATGCAGTAGAAGGTGTAGCCACCACCAACCTCTTCCAGTTGAGTTTCATCTGCAAGTCTGGTCTCACTCAATGCGGCTATGTCCACCTGGTATTGTCCAAGCAACCTTGCTATTAGAGCAGTGCGTCACTCTGGTCTGTCTCCACTGTCCAACAGCGTTCTCACGTTCCATGCCCCAATGGTTAAGCGCTTTCTTGTTTTGTTATCCTTCGTTGTACGACCGCTTAGTTGGATGCCCAGGCAGGTGCGGTTCCTGCCAGGTGCAAGTAGGGCAGGCTTTCTTTAAGGATCCTTTTATCTCCCCTTCCCCATGTGGGGCGAGCAGTGCTAACCCTAAAGAGGGCTGCTCTGTCACTGCGAGAGGATACGGGCGCCGTATCTGCCCTAGGTTTACGGCGGACGACCATCAATTCGCAGCCGCCTGCGTGCAGAGTCATGGCTAAGAACTTCCAGCAGCATCCTCTGCCCGTCACCATTTCTCCATCGCCACAGGACTTGAGATAGCTGCCGCAAAAAAAGGATGTTGCATCACTTGATTCCGGCAAACCTGCTTGCCTGACCAGCACAGGTGAATGTTTTAGGTGAAGAGGGGATGTGCATGCCCGTCTCCGCCCTCTTGCCTACGAACGCTCAATGCTCCACAGGTGCAGAAGCAGCCACGTGTAGAGCGGCCCCAGCAGGTGCAGCTTTCTTCTTCGGAGTATCCGTCTCCGAGCCTTTCCCGTGACCGAGTACACCGCAAGGCAGCGGCGGTTTGGAGTCAGGGCTTTCCTTCCCCTAGGTGGGCTACCTTCCTGGGTTAACGAGCCACCACCTGCCCGAAACATCTGGTTTTAAGGCGCCAGAGACCCGCCTTCGCCCCTTCTCCTGTCGGTAAAAGCAGTTCCGCCGGGCTTAGAAGTAAAGCCACACGAGCAGGCCAGGAGTTGGACTTGGTTGACAGAGGCTGTTTGAGACGCACGCCGTAAGGAGCATTTTGTAAACACCGGGAGCTTATCCCCGGAGCCATTGTTGTAAATTTAATTTAAATTAACTGCTATAATTTATTTTGACTAAATATGGACTAAATATGGTTTCCCAACTTCAATTCATTGAATTATACTGGAATGATAACTCTATTAAGAATGCCCTGTGATTGGATGAAGCCAACATACGTCTAAAATTTGTCTACCCCCAAGAAATAGTTCATATTTTCTTGGCGATCGCTTTTTGACTCATCTGTCACGAATGACAAATGTTGTTCAAAACTTCCGCGCACACTAGGAAATTTTGTCGATCACACTTGTAACGAATAACAAGTACGCGCGGCAAGTTCACCAGTGTGCGGCGGGCTTAAAAGGTAATCGCTTTCATTTACATTTACGACAAATTTTAACTGCAATTTTTGAAATGAAACCACTTTCCAATTTAAAAATTATTAAATATCTTTTATTAATACAACTTTAAGTAAACATTCTTACGGCTTACCAGTAAACGGTAGACCATTGTCATGAAGAAGTGACAAGCACAGAGCGATGGTGAGCAAATTAAAGAAATTATAATTTCCTGTGGCAATTATCAGCAACTGGAACGTCACCTACATACATGCAGACAAAAAATAAACGAGGTAGAACTTAAAAGCAAAAACATGTTACAATTTAATATATAATATGTAAACACACGCACAAAAATGTTAAAGGATGTAAACAAGGTCACATGAGCTGTTTACATGAATCAAAAGAGTTTCATTCCGATGAAAGTATTTTTTCGTATGAATAACATTTAAGATATAATAAGTATTAAATACAACGAAACACAAACATGACGCGCAACAATGCAAGTCTATGCTGTTTGGGAAAATGACGTCTTTTGTTTCTTAATAAACTATTCTTGACTTGCAACCGCTCTCTTGAGATTTGCGAAACAATGTTGCTCGCCCACGCCGGCTGGTGCCAACAATATATCTGATGAAATGTTCTTTTGTATCAGACCACCATGGCTGAATTGCAAGTCAAGAATTCTTGAAGAAATTTATTTAGAAATATTGCTCAACTAAACTCAAGACTCAAGACAAAACATGAACACAGGCACAACTTAAACTACAATACCTGCAAATAAAAAGCAAACATTCGTAGGGATCTTATCGGTGAAAAGAATAAGAATGGGATCGGTATTTCTATGACAAACCTAAAAAGATTGAATATTTTAGGTTCTGTAGCAAACATTTCGGGGTTTATTAACAGTTGCATGTAAACACAAGCAAAAAAAAACAGATAAAGAAAAAGACGCCCCAGCATACCTGCATTAAAACCACGACGGTTACTTTTTTAAAACCCAGAAGAATATTAACAAATAGAACATAACAGGAAAACCACATTTACCATTTAAGAATATTATAAAATGAATAATACTAAAAAACCTCTTACGTCATCATAACACTAAATCTTTGAAACCAGGAGGGCAAATGATGTGCAAACCACGCAAGAGGAGTAGGGATACACTGTATTAAAAAAAAATATTTAAAATGTTCATGGCATACAAAGCACTATAACAACAAAGGAAAATTCAGTTGTGCCAGACCTATAACTTTTGACAGCCAATTAATTTACTAAAGCACTCAGTCGAGTACACATTAATATATGATAATTTTTACTCCCCTCCCTTCCAATTAACCTTCTAGCTTCTGCTTACAATGAAATATAATTTGATTAACATATTAAATTTTACATCACAAATACATTACGGCTGGAGAAATTACTTATGAATGACAATAGTTGCGAGCGCAAAAAAAGCTAACTAGGTTGTTCGAGAGAAGCTCAAATTTACATTATATTGCCTAACATTCAGGTAGACATATCGTTTAAGACATTGAATGGTACGGCAAGGATTCTGGCATGAAAACAAGAAAAGCGTGTAAGGGTGCGACCACAATAAGAGTAAAGATGCTAATGACTACACATGTCACCAGATGCCAGACATACAATATCAAGATATCATCGATTAGCTAATGGCGATTTGATGATGGACGTTGAACTAACGATAATCGAAAAAATGCCATAAAACAGAAGAGTAACTTTGGTCAACAAGAATCATGATGTTAATTGATGAACATACAAAGCAACACATATCGGTGAATTTAATACTCAGTGTGGGAGATAATTCAAAAATCAAACCCTTGGTTAGAAATGTGATAATCCTATAGCAATGTGAAGAGTCTCAAGCTCTATCTGCCGAATGTGTTGCGTTTCAAAGATTGATCGGGGCAAGATGAAAAGAAGGTATACATGCTGAGTGTAGGGAGAAGTATTGCGATTATCTGAAGTATGGAGAGTTACAGGCCTCTTTTGGGTGGCAAACAAATCAAACGTCTGAGTTGAGACATTTCAGTTTGCTTGGAATATGTTTGGTTTACCTACATTTTCATACATCCAGCACAGCATGGTGTTTTGGAGGTACATGGTCACACACCATGACTCTTTTTCATTTACATCTGAAGCTCATAAGCAGGGACGGCGCTAGAACGCTAATTGGAGAAGGGGTATGTAAATTCATATATTCAGTTGTGGGCGAGTAAATTCTTGTGAAAGTAATTTGATTTTCTAAAAAAGTCAGTCGGGCACAGCGGAAAATATGAGTATACACCACCCCAATTAGCTTTTTAGCGCCGTCCCTGGTCATACGGTAGAAGATGGCCAGGAGAGGAAAGTAAGTCGGAGCAAATACTAAATGAGTTTTAAAGCTAGAATATGGCGTCAATGGAAGGAGCAGAGTCACCTGAGATTATCCGTGAGCAGTCCTTCGCTTAACAGATGTTTGCAGTCCAAACAGGTGAATCAAAGTGACTTGGATGAAAGTGAAACAAATTGAAGAACGACTTGTTTCTTGGTCCGGCTTGTAAATTCAACATCTAGAATTAGTGGGGCTCGTGTGACGACTAATATAGCAGTGAAGATGAAAAGTCTCTTACCCGTAATCCAGAACAAGCAAATTGCGCATTGGATTGATAGTTTGATAGTACTCCATTGCAATAAGTGTAACGGAGCTTACAAGCAATTTGTCGCCATATGAGTTCGGAAAATACAAGAGCGTTACGAGTATTGAATTTAGAAAGGTAGTAACGTGACTTTCAATGGTGGCAAAACCCTGAAAAATGACCTGCTAGTCCAGAGGTTAAAACGTCGCAAGAATCTGACTAAGAAAGGAGAAAAATCCGTAAAGTGATGTGCATCAATCAATAAGAAATCGTATCTGCTGACTTTGATGTGGAGTTAGCAGTATTAACTCCTTTTTTTGAATTAGCGTAAATGCAAATTGCACGTGACGATCAACTGGACGATTAAAATGATGACCTTAATAAGCGTGTTACACACAGTACAATAGCAACCAATATGATGAATACATTGATGCACTCGGTGAGCGAATCTACTTCAGTTTTGAGGAAAAGAACATAACATTATACAAGACTTGTAGTGTTTTGAATTGACGAGCAGAAGTAATTTAAGTAACGCGAAATATTCGGTCATCGCACCTTCATGATTAATTCAATCTTTATACTAAACTTGAAATATTGCACGTCCGGTTTTACAATAAAAGTTCAAAACAATTTACAGTGAAGTCACTTTTCCCTGGCTTTAAGTCAATTTTATTGGATGCCAGAATGAATAAGAAGTTCTAAAATATTGTCAAAGAAGACTTTGACGAACATCTTGGTTAAAACATAGATCGCTTGGTTAGCTAATAAGGAACTCGTCTCTTTAAGAGGACACGTAATCAACGGACTACGAACGCATAGCATGTTCTTAGAAAATAACTTAAATATGTTCAACTGTTGTTTTTTTTCTGGCAAATGTGTTATAACGAAGAATAAGATGACTAACAAGAAATTAGAAGATTAGAGGAATATCATATTCGTCTAGACGTCTAGTGATGAACGAATGTAAGGCGCAAAAAAGTGATGACCACAACTGCTGTAAGAAGAACGTTTCACACAAAGTCGATGTTAGCAAATCAAAGATTGAACATGACAATGAACATTCAGAGAACGATATCATGTAAGAAGTGCGGTACACTTAATTTTTATGCACGTGGTTTAGGTTGTGTATAGACTTCCACGAAAAATTTAATATCTCTATACTACCAATAAAGCATCGTAACGATTCCTCTTTTTTACCACATGGCAATAAACGACATTTATACGTCAACCCTTATTTTTACTAGAAAATAGCTTAGGTATTTTCTAATGATATTTACGATATTTAAATCAATAAAGTAGCCCTTCAAATAGTCCAATATGCTAAATAACTTACTTTCTTATGCATAATCAATGCTACAGGCTATACCTGAGACTCGTAGTGCCAGTTCAAAGCAGTAAGTTCCCACCATGTTGGACAGCCACTGGTCAATTTAACAACACCGGAGGCAAACATTAGACGGAATAATAACCACTTGACAAGCCAAAGTGAAATTAAATCATTTGGAGAACCTGCCGAATTTCTAAAAAAAAAAATGAAAGAACACCATAAATTATGGAAAAAAACAATCGTAGACAAAACGCAACAGTTGAAGTAGACATTATGGTTAGTAACATCAAACAAACAAATTGATGTCTTTTACTATCAAACCTTGAATTTTTGGACAGTGATACTATAATACACAAAAAACCAGCTTCAAGAAGCAGTATATCCCTAAAAAACCACGTGTAAGTTTAGCAGAAACAACAAGCACTGATTATGTTGTAGCAAGCATGTTATATAAGTACGTACCTAATATTTTCAAAATTGTAAGAGGCACAATAAACAGATTAAGATTGCAGGACGGGACATCATTGACGACGTAAGTTCACGAAGACAGTGTAGGCTGATGACGCCGTCGTCTTTCATGTTAAGAGTTATTTAGATTATACGAGAAGACGACGTGTCTTTACGAAAGAAATAATTTCATGCTTGTAGATGTAGATCGTCCAGGTTAGTATAGTGCTGAGAAGGACTGTTTTTGTTGTTGTTGACTGACGTTTCGACAAACTTAGCGGTAGTAATCTTCAGAGTCAACAAAAACAGTCCTGCTCAGGACTATACTAACCTGGACGATCTACATCTACAAATATGTAAAGAATTTCATCTTTTATTATTTTACCACATTTGGCAGAATACGCCTTAACTACGTCATCTTAGACGTCGCGTCCTGAAATCTATATTTGTTCAATGAGTTCAAACAACATAAAGATAACACGTGTCAAAGGTAACACGCATCATGAACTTGCTAAGAGCATGCATGTGTTTTACATATGACAGTTATTTTACCAAAACGTAGTACTAGTAGCTACATGCAAACAAGTGATTCAGTGATTAAAACAATGGGAAACGGGTTACCCTATGCACGAATTTGTGTAACATAAAAAGTTGTTCACAAATCTTTTCTCATGAAAATTGAGGATAATCATTAACATTATTACAAATCAAAAGCTCACAAATTCTTTTATAGGTAGAGTAACTAAGAAACATCGATAAATGGGTTGGGGAGGAGGAGAGGCAATGCTTATACGTATATACGTACTTACTGATAACAAATAATGTCGAAATAAAATATTAAGGCACAGTAAGAATATGTATGGATACTGCCCCTCCCTTAAATATCCAGCTGGCTAATCGAATGTTTATAGCTGTACATCTGTCTCAGAACAACTAGTTTTTAACGAGAAATCGCTTACCATTGAAACCAAAGAAATGTTTGACCAACCTGTAAAAATAAAAAACAAAAAGTTCTTCAAAAACAGTTACAAAAAATATAACGCAAAATATTGAAAAATTAAAGAAATATTCATTTGCTGGTTTATGGGTTACAACAATATGCAATATGCGCTGTTAATCGGCGTTGAAGCATTTCAGCAGCGCCTTACATTCACTGGCGATAAAAATTAAAAAAACTGAAGAAAAGCGAACAACAACAGCAGGTGCACAAATTTATCAATTTTTGTAAGCCTTGCATTCCAGAACAACTAAAGTAAATTTTTTAAGCGTGTTTACGTAAGCTGTCATAAGTATAGTTTCTCAACTAAAAGTTTACCATCTCTAAAAGCAGCAAAACCTACTTGATAGAGGGAAAAATATAAGATCCACATAAACGAAAACGAGAAAATACTCCGCCATCCTTTGCTGACAATACACATTACACTAAGATAAACACCAATAATGCACAACAAACTCATTCCCGTTTGGGCTGTAAGACCAAGATCATCGATAAACCATAAAAGGGTCGGTCTACGACGTATGTCTTCCATCAAAGAAGCTTTGTTATCTATAAAACACCAAAGTGACTTCTGCATTAAAATCATCGACACCGATTAATCAACTTTCTCTTTCAAAATCAAAGAAGCTCTTCACATCAATAAAACTAACCCTGATCTGAATGTTCAAATTCACCATTACAACACTACGCATATTTGTTAGCAAAGTGGTACAGGTATTACGTAACAACAGCTTCGACAAGAAAAAGAACGAAGCATAAAAATATCAATGACATGCAATGTGCCAATCATACCAGTTTTTTTTTATAATACATTCTTAAAAAGCAGCAAAATGACAATATTGACTTTTTAAAGACTTTTTAAAAACTATTTACAGACCTTTCACTGACTATTTGCTGATTAATACTAACTAAGCATCTTAGTAAGTTTCTGAGACATCAACTGTTTTTATGGAATATAACACGCATATATGAACATTGGCTCCCCTCTCTTTCTGCATACAATATTCAGCAGGACAACCCAATTAGCACTAAGAGCAATAACATGTAATAGTTTCCACTATTAACATTGAAAAACAGACATGTTATTTATTACATAATCTAAATTAGCTAATTTAACAAAACAGTAATTTATAAAACAGATGTGCACAACATAGGCGGCGCAGAAATCTGTTTAATTTCTTTATTCAATCGGTTTATGTAATTAGCACATTAAACAGTAAATAAATTATTTGATTGATGTGCAATGTTTGACACGCACGCGATCTGGCATGACTTCCATTGTATGCTAATACTTGATCTTTAATCATATTGTAAATTAAAAAGTCATGAAAATAATCAAACCTAATAATAAAAGTTTTATACTCTAACTGATCGAGATAAATGGCAAGTAGCACAGACCCTTGGCATCTAGCACACAGCTTAATTACTAACACATCATACCTCTTCTTAGGATGTTCCTAACAGGCAGTAATCCATTGTCACCAAACAAGCCTACAAAAAAATGCTTGGGTGGTAGTCTCTTTTTCAAACCAAGTAAGTAAAAAATTATTGCGTTATTAATATACATTCTCAGTAAGCAATACGTAGCAGTCTACATAGAAATAACTCTTCTTTAAAAATATGTGGATATGTAATTGTTAAAATCTTACATTAACCAGACATATGAAAGGCACTTTTGCTGGAAACTTGGAACAAGAAAACAAATGCATGAAAATAAATACATGGAAATATGTGCATAAAACAACTTTTTTTCTTACTCCACCATTTAATGAATATCAATCATAGTTATTTACTAAAGACAGGCAGTGGCATAGCTAATAATAAATTTCGTGCTGCTCTGTAAAACTACCATAACCACATATTGCAAAAACAATAAGATTTCAATGGAAATAAATAACTACAATGCATTCACAATGGCCTAACAGAGCCAAAACCTATACACATGCTAACTATGCCACTGATCATAGGATATAACCAACAACAAAAAATTTCACTAAAATCTTAAATGATTTTCATGTTAGTACAACTAAGCCAAAAACAACTTTTCAAAAAAAAATTCTCAAAATTTATACACTGTACACAAGTTGAAGCTACATAGCTTGCAAAAAAATTACCAGCCAGAAAAACTAATTATTTTCCATACAAAAAGATTATTAAGTATAAATCATGAAACAATACATGCTCATCAAATAGGTCAACTCAAATGAGCCATCAGAATGTCTTTAAGCGATAATTGTGATTCATCAACTGTCTGTCATGCATTTCATTTACATATACTTCACAACAATCGTTTCACCTTCCTGTATTTTGATTTGAATAATTTGCACTACCTACTGCAAGATATTATTAAGATAATATTAAGATATTATAAAGAAATTACTTACATCTTTTTAAAATCTTCAAGATCTTAAAATAAATTTATACCACATTTTAAAAAAATCTTGCTTCAATTCCGAATTGTACTAAATAATGATACTGTTTAAGATCTTATTTAAGATCTTAAATACAAATAAGACGTTACATGATTCCATAAAATCTTTTAGTGTAGCCAAGATGCAAACCATAGAATACATATATTGTTAACATAACATTTTAGCAGGGAGAGAGCAAAAATTTTTACAGAACCTTACTTAAGATTTTTACCAGGGTTAAGGGAGAGCTAAACAGAATACAAACTTTTTTTGATGTTGGTCAATGTAATGGAATGTAAGTTTTTTAGCCTAACCTGGGTTCATCATGATCGAATCCGTCATCAATTACGAATTGACTTAACATGGAGTTTCAAACAAAGACACAAACGCTATGTTTTTCTTCCACTCCACACTCAGAATCAAAGAAGCCTTACACATTAACAAACTTAAGCCCGCTCTCAATAAGCAAGTTCACCACGTTAATACCATTTTTAGTTTGTAATCTCATTATAATAAATTCCTCAAAAAGGTACCTGGTATCTGCATGTAAAGTGATGCAAACGCAAACAAATAAATTGAACCCATGCTCAACAAAAACATTTCCTTCCCCAAACCACACGGCCACATGATCGACGTGTAACAATAGAAATTCAACCAAACAGCTGTTCGGTTATTCGAAATTGCGTTGTTGTTGTCAATTGTTACAAATTAAAAATATCAGTATCCGCGCCCGCAAACGTTCATATGGACTGTCCGTTAGTAATTACTTTGTTTAACGTAGATTTTAAGATAATGTTCGAGTTTCGAAGTCGACCAGAACATAATTGTTGCCTTGATGCTTTACTTTATCGGCAAATGTATGCTATTTGATGATCACTGAGCTTGTAAAACAAAGTTTTGTGGCGCTGTAATGATAATGCTTATACGCCATATTTCCTTCTAACTCTATATTATGGTTGGATTAACTTGTTTACTTTGAACCATGCTTGAGTCTTGACTATTTTATAGCTGCCGAAAAACATGATTATTCGTGATAAAACATGATAAATGCTAATTAACTTAATTTTGAATTCTCAATGCCCATTTCCTAGAGGCTTACTACGATTCAGGATTAATCTTTATAGGACATTATAAAATTGATCACCAATATGCAGCAAGTACTTTCTCAACTGTTTTCAACATACTCATAATTATTTACTGCACGGTCTGCACTCTAAGGAAACTGCATGTTTTGTGGCAGGAGACACGTTGTTGTATATTGCTCAGGAAAAACCTGGGGACAACAATGGGCAATGTTTCGATTTGAAAAAAATGTTAATAAATTTGTGTTTATAATATAAGTCGTCATTACACTCCACAGTAACATGACTCTGAAGTCACATAGCTCCATTGTCACATGACTCCGTAATAACTTAGTCTAATGACGAAATAGAATTCAAAAATGAAACAAGAATTACCAGTTAGTTGAAGATTTAAATAAGATTTATTGTAAAAGAAAGTGAAGAAATCAAACCCTCTCCCATTACGACATTGGTAGGATAGTTAACATTAATTTGGTGTATAAATCTAATTTCACCCGCCCTATATGTATGAACGCTGTTGAGCTCACTCGTAGTGATGTAAACTGCTTCCTTGGTTTGATTTGACATATCTCACACAACTCCTTTGTTTCGTTGCCAATAACTCTTGCAATTACTCATAGAGTTACGGTCAAACTCCTATTTAACGATAAGTCATGCTTATAAATGCTAAAATTTTGTAGCCATTTTTTCATTTAAGAAGTGAACATAAACTTCCTTTAATTTTTTCCCAAATCTATTGTGTGCATCATGCGTTTCCATAATTATTATAGTCTTTTGAAAGTCTTACCAAACGGCAGATGATTGATCCTTGCAAGAATATATACATACTTTTCTTCTATGTCCATAAAGTCAATTGTAAATATTTTATTAGTAAAAAAAACTCATAAAGGCACATTTATCCTACATTAACTTCAAAGAATACAAAAGATTAGTGAAGAACAAGGCATAAATTTAATAAGTTAGAAACTTTTTTGCTTTTTATAGCTTTTTTTCTTTAATGAAACTTTTCAAAAAAATCCAAGAAGTGTAGTTTTTGAAAGATTCCAGTTTCCTAATTCACCCAATTTAGATAGGCATATGTATATAGCCATATACTACGAATGTCAATAATGCAGACAATATTTCATTGATTGTAAATATTGTGCATTGTAATAACGAAGAAAAAGTGCAACGTCAAAGATCTGGTGACCACAAAATTATGCAATTTTTGCTTATAACTAAAGGTATCAACTTTCACCAAAAGCAAATATTCTAATAAAAATATAGATGAAAATGATCAAACGTAACCATTTCAACCAATTACATCTGTGTTAATTACAATATTACCCTAACCCAATTACAATGGTTGCGGCGGGCAAATTATACCTGTACTTTCTGCGATAGAGTTAACTATGGTAACATCATGCCATGACATTCTTCGCTTATTTTCTCTAATTTCGACTCCAACTTTTTTGATATGATGTTTTAAGATATGTATGCAATACTGGGTTTTTTTTTCAACACAAGGGTGTTGCTTTTCAACTCTAACACTGTGCATGTCTGATTTAAACAAACTAAATAATTGTTTGACATCTGACCATGAATATTTTTTACACATGTTTTCCTGCCTACTGAAATTTATCGACAAACAATAAGAAATTGGAATGAGATTAGCGTAAAAGTCTTTGGAAATCAGTGGCCCATGGTAGGCAGTCTGTGGCTGACTCAGTAATTGACTTCCATCAACAGTGCTCTCTTTCATAATTTTTCGACTGTGAGGCAAGCGTTTGTTAAATTGGTCTAAATTGTTGCACAATTCTATTTTCCACTCGTAGCGATTATTCTCAAAGAACCAAGCGTAGCTGATGATTACATTTACTGGCGAGAGTTTACCAGTTCCAGTGTGATAAAATTTTTTAAATGCTTCTTCGAAGTTATCTGTCTGAAACGTTTTCAAGATGTGGTTTCTACAGTTGGTAATGGTGTCGCGGTAGAGGTACACCGGGAAATATGTCATAAAATCAGCTACCTGTGGCCATCCTATTGCGTTCCGTGTACTTTTAGCCCATGATTTTACCCAGCTTATATCCATTGTACAATCAGTACCGAGGATCCGGACCCTTCCATTTGGCATAATAGTTGACATTGTAACTGGAAGAAGAAAGGGGGAATCACTATCCAACCAAGCTATGACATCATCCTCTGTGTAAAGATCCATGAAGAAACTGCTCCACAACTGACGGTTGTAGCCACTTGGCTTTAATTGGCCACGAAATCTCAGAAGAGTAGGATCAATTGGCAGTGCTTCGTATTTTATTTCAAAAGAATGATCTGGAAAATGCTCAGTTGTCTGATTTAGCAATGTTGCAGCAAATGTGTAATCTTCCTTTGATTCTGCATCAAGTACCAGAACCATCTTACCCAGCCATCCTGGCCAAAAAATTAAAATTGTCTTTAGCATATTGCAGTAAAACCTTGTTTTGTGATCTATTCGGTTCCCCGACATTCTCATTAGAAGAGAAATTGTAGGATTAGTATAATTTTTTGTAGTACTTGCAGAATAGTTAAAATTAAAATACAAAGTTTCATTAGCGACAATTGGTAAAAGATGAGGTACTGAACTCTGTGGTTTAAGTGCATAGAAAACAATTAACAACCCAAAACAGCAAAAGATGACTCGACGACGATTCAAGAGATATTTCATTGTAGATGAATAATGTATTAGCTATCTTACGGTCATCAACGCCTAAAAAAGACAATAATTCAAGTGACATATCAACAGGTCGACAAATTTACTAAGTTTTTTCCGTATTTAATAAAAATAACCCCAATAGACAAAGCGAAGAAATAAAGGATATCATCTCCATACGAGGGAATTTACTAGACTACACTTATTTCGTCAATTCTGGGGCGATTATTTTAAAAATCAATCATACCGGCAAATTATCGTTTGTTCAGTCTATTTTTCAACAGGCACTGAATGTGATATATTTTTCAAAAGTTGGTAGCCATTTCGTTTAATGATTGTCGCAGATCGGCTGCATTGACACAAAAGGCTTTAGTCATACTCCTCATTTTCATAAAAAAAAACATGATTTGTTGTGGGTTGATTTTCATGAAACTTACATTTTGACGTTGTAAGACGTTATATATCAAAGAAAAAAAGAATCATACGCCGGTTGTACGAAAGGCGTCTAAACTAAACGACGTTAATTAGCCGCTATAAACCGTATAAATTCCTTATCTATTGGATAGTTAAACGATGGTTAAAACTGCGTTGCACGAACGCCGTTTAGCTTAGCGTTTAACTATCAGCAGGATAAGCTCAAATCTAAACGAGCGAAACAAGGAAAAAAGAGGTTTTTGCTATTTAATTACTTGGCAACTAGGTGGGAAAACTCGAGAAATATACTTTTAGTATATACAGTCAGTAAATTTGTTTACCTGGTGAAAGCTTTCGGATGCAAAAAAATGTTGCATTATGAAGGCTTATTTGTCCAAGACGCTTGATGACTGCGATTTTGTGGACTTTCTTTGTTTTTGATACGACATGGCGTAAAGAAACTCCCGAAAAGACATGATATCTTCATATTAAATAAAGAATACGATTCAAAGTTTCATACAAGTCTTACAAGACGCCGATAAATATTAAAATTGTCAGGAGACCGTTTAAATTTACTAAGTGGACAGGCAAAATTTAACCGGTAGGTGGAGTTAAACGGGCTTCGTAAAGCGCATTTTTCAAAGCGTTTAAAATTTATACAGTGGAGGGTGATTTAAACACTTATTTCAAATAAAACTGGAACAAGCATCTAGCACGAAAGTTGAAGTATGACGAAACATGATCAAAATGCAGCTATTTCTGTCATCGGTAACTCTACTGTGGTATGGAAAAACTGCATGGAAACACCTAAAATTGTTCGAGTCGTAGTTCAGAAATACAAACTGATTAAATAATCTTATTTACGATCATAAACTGATCAATCCGTTAAAATTACAAGCCTTTTTACGTGTGATTCGGAGTAAAACAAGTATTCTTTTTTTATACGGCCTATTATTCTTTCTGACTCGCTTTACTTTCGCCAAAGGTTGTTTTTCATCTTCTGCGTTATGTTATAGCATAATTTGGCGATGTGTTGCTATATTTTCGATAGTTTTGTTAAAAAGTCTTTCGATCATTGAGTTCTATAAGACCTGGAGGGGAAACGTCAACAAAATTACTATAAATCGTTAGCGCGCAGCCGCGTGGTCAAAAACATGGCAGATTTTGGTGGTCAAAGTCAGCGGAGAGACGCGGGCTCATGAAGTAAAATTTTTGTCGCTCACCCTGATTTGACCACCACGATTAAGAGTATAGAAAATATCAAAACTATTTTCCTAACATAAACACTTTTTTAAAATTTTATTTATTAAACAATGTGCAAACTTCCTTGGTTTGCGGATGCTGAAATAGCGACAGAAAAGGAAACATTTCATGACACCGGTAAGTAGCACAGTATTAGTTTTACTATTTTGTTTTTAACACGATATTTGAAGAGTGTTTCCACTACTAAATTTTAATTTAAAGTTCTTTTTGTCCAGTCTTGTTTGATCTTCCCTTTATCGCGCGCCAGACGAGGCGAAGCAGCCAATATTTTTCGAGTTTTGCATCAATCTTGTATTATGATCAAGCTAAACTCTACTGATTTGAATTGAGTTTACCTCCCAAAAATGGGGCAGAATTTGTTCATATTTTTTTTAAAAGATGAAGGGAAACTTTACAACGGAGTTGTGTTAAAATTGAATGCAGTGCCATGCAAAGTTATTGAGAACTATGGTATATATCGTATAATGAAAATAACTATTAAACTGCTTGCCTG